CCCCCCCCCATGGCTTTAGCACAGAGTAAGTCCTAAATTCGTAATGGCATTAGAAAACTGCACAGTTTTCAAAGACTTTCTTTCAGAGGAAAGAATTTCATACCTAATTAAACTCTGCCATTTCTATTTTCCCAATACTCCTGATCTATCTCACGACACCATATTTCTCCCACAGCTTGACTCTTTCCATATGTAATATGGAAAGACCACTTTTTAGAAATAAAGACAGCAATGCCTTCACATTTTGAATCAGTGAATGGGGTGGGTGGGGAGTAGAAAGTCATATGTTGGGAAAGGCAGATGTTCCGAAGGATGTAGGAGCAGGCAGCAGATCCTGGAACCAGAAAAGAGGACAAACTGGCCCTGCCATTAGGCAATGTGAGATAGCCAAGTTTGTCATGAATGACTAGCAATTTTTTACTTATAAACTTTGCCTGACATCCTGTATCAGAGACCCTGGTGAGTAAGTTTATGATGATGGAGATCTTGCTGACATTATATGTAATCATGCGAGTGAATTATGACAAGGCACAATAGGGCACCACATTTTTTTTTTGGAGTAAAATAACCCACTTGTCGTTCACATTGACTAATGAATTGATTCAAAATGGACCCTCTTCAGCCGGCCAGCAAATTTGGTCTCATTCCCACTATGTTATAAACCAGTTCGCTAATGAGTTTGAAGTGGTTTGAATGACCCTGATTTACACTTGAGCTGAATTGCTGAACTGGTTTGGTGAGGGGCCCCCCACGCTAGGCCCATTTAACATGCATCATTTTGACACTCATTTTCCCCCCATCTTTTGTAATAAATCAATTCAGCGCAAGTGTGAACGGGATATGGATCGGAATCAATTTAAATTTACCAGCCGGCTGAAGAGGGCCCATTCTGAATCAATTCGTTAGTCAATGTGAACAACAAGTGTGTTATTTTATCACAAGAAAATGTGATCGGGCAAATGTAGTGTGAATCACGTTCCGCTGTCGAATCGATCCATTGATTTGGATCACACACTGATTTATTTGTAAGTGGGAATGAGGTTTTTAAAGGGCAAATTTAAATCTAAACTAGATCAAATTTAAATTTGATCTGCCTCCTGTTCACACTTATGCTGAATTGATTTATTGCAAAAGATGCAGAAAAAAATGAGTGCCAAAAAGACACACGTTAAATGGGTCTAATGTGGCGGGGGAGGTCACCAAACCACTTCAGCAATTAAGCTCAAGTGTGAACTAGGGTTGTTTAAACTGCTTCAAACTGGTTAGCAAACTGGTTTATAATTTAGTGGGAATGAGGCCTATATCTCACCACCCATGAAATGAGTTTTGGTTTTTGGGACATTTTGGATTTGGGAATTTTGGATAAGGGAGACTCATGCTACCAACTTATTTTTGGTTAGTCTCAAGGGTGCTACAAGATCCCTTTGCATACTGATTTTCCAGACTGACATGGTTACATCTTTGAATTCAACCTATATGGGTAAATGTAAGAGATTTGTAGTAATTGGGAAGGAAATTATGTTCCTTGAGTACAAACTCAGCATTCAACAGTTTCAGAGCTTGCAAAAGTTCCTTTTTGGACTACAAGTTTCACAGTCCTCAACTGGAAACTTTTATAAGTTCTGCTCAGTATAAATTCCATGCAGCAAGGTAGCTAGCCTTGCTATTTTCACTATGTCTGGCACTTGGGTTTTTTTGGGGGGGGTGGATTTCTGGATACCAGCAAAATTTTAAGGTAAAGTTATGTGCTGACTGCAACATCCCTCAAAATGGCAATGTGAAGAGGCAAGGTATCAGTTTCTTGTTAAACCTGAAATTATAACATTCTTCTCATAACAAATCCATTGTTGTGATGTTCTTAAATATGAATAATTTAGTTGTTTTCAGCAGGAAAGTTATAAGACTAAAATTAAGAACACAAATCAATTTTCAGATCTCCATAACTACATGTACTTCTCAGTTGTTGTTCCTTCTATATATAATATTTCACAAGGTGTGCAATCTAGACACTTTGTCATTGGTAGCTTCAGCATTCTGTATTATCATCTAGGCAAATCATGTACGAGCAGAAACCATAGAAATATCCTTTGATATGCTGGTTTTTATTTACAAGTGTGATTTTGCAATGAACTGAACCTTTGTAATGAGCAGCTTATTAAATATTTACATGACTCTAACAGCCATAAGAGCTACCTATTAAGACTAGGGCTGTTTTGAGCTGTAAATTGTGCAAACAGCAGTGATTCTATAACCCTTGCCAGCTAAAAGATACTCCAATAAAGCAACAGAACCTAAGGACACAACTGCTCCTCCTTCATAGCCATCAGAAAAAAAGAATTGTAGCCATTTCAGGAAACCTCAGTCAAACTGGCATATATTCCTATCTGTTCCTTACTAGCAACTGTATTAAAGCCACTGAAAAAGGAACATTGTATTTCAAACTCAATTTTCAGGTTAGTTAATGTTGATTTTCCTCCCTAGCAATACCTAGCAGGAAACAGAGGATCGAGGCCAAGGCTGCCAGACACTTTGACCCCAATCTTCCCTTTCGCCACCTGCAAAAGCAGCGCTAAAATAGCGCCCCTTCCACAAGCCATGAAAGGGGGACAGCAAAAGGTGTGGCGCACCTCTTTGGTGTCTCTTCCAGCTCAGCGTGTGCGGACACTGAGCTGGAAGGACGTCATTCGAACGCCCGTCATGTGGATGGGCCATTGCTCCAATGACGTCCTGAGGAAGGGGATGGGGCACCCAGTGTCCAGCTGCCGCTCCCCTTCCTTGCCTTCAACACACCGCAAAGGGCCCATCTGCAGAGGCCCCTAGTCTAGGATCTTTGTCTTCAAACTATGCCTAGAATTTGAAGAAATCATTAACTTTAATTCCTCTTCAGTTCTTTTTGACTCTGTGCATGAATGTTGGCCCTTCCTCTACCATCAGGCAGAGTGAATTGGCCTCCTCAAGCATCCAGATTGGTATGTCATGAAAGGACAGTCAATTGTTAGATATCTAATTTATGACTGTTGTGGGCATGGTACATGTGGGATTTTCTGCTTCATGTACTAAAAAAAGAAAAAGGCCTTGCCTATCCTTAGATGCTAAGGTAACCTGATTTACAGATGAGCTACTATTTGGTGCTCCACCTTAGGCAGCAAAATGACTCTAGCTATCCCTGCATCTCTACCCTAGGTTGGCTCCTGATCCCAAGGACTTTTTTGCTAATACACTCTTACACACTTCCACTTTAACCAATTATGCCCTGTTGTTGTATGCCTTCAAATCATTTCTGACTTATGGAAACCCTAAAGCAAACCTATCACAAGGTTTTCTTGGCAGGTTTCTTCAGAAGGGGATTGTCATTGTCATCCTCTGAGTCTGAGACTTGCCCAAGGTCACCCAGTGAGTTAACATGGCTGAACAGGGATTTGAACCCTGGTATCCAGAGTCATAGTCAAATGCTCAAACCACTATGCCGCACTGGCCCTGTACCTGCAGTAGTCTCAGCTCTTCACTCTGGTGTACAAGCCAAGACACAAAGAAATTCCAACTAGCAGCTGAGATGCCTCCATGAAAATTTCTGCCAAAGCCTCTTGTGTTATTCACACTAAGGCAAGAGGGAGATTAAAGTGCCAGTGATTCTTTGCTGCATAGCCATCAACTGTCCTGGTTTGAGAAGGACTATCCTGTGTAATCATCTGTCATCCTACTTTTTCAGCTGCTTTTAAAATGTCCCAGTTTCTGGACCTTATCGCATGGGGTAAAAATAGCTGGCTTACCGTTCCTAAACTGAATTCTAATTTGGGCTGTATCCAGGTACTATCATATGTAAATCACTGCTGAATCCACTGGCTGAATACAGCCCACATGTAGCCCAGGTCCCAGGCGCACTTAGCCAGCCTTTTTTTGAAGTCTAGAGTTTGGCAACTTTAAAAAATAGGTGCTGATTCGGCAGTGATTTACATGATACTACTTGGATGCACCCCGAATTAGAATTCAATTCAGGAAAGGTAAGCTAGTTTTTTTACCCCATACGATAAGGTGCTAAATCTCCTCCTTACTTACTTAATTCAGTTGCTATAAATTGCATTCAAAGTGCAAAATTAGTTTCCACTCAGTTAACTTTATGGAGATGAAGGGGTGAAATCTTCTCAGTGGGCTCAGGCAAAAACAAGCTGGTGCAGCATCTCCTAGCTTGTGTGTTTCCCCTCATTAACATCATTTGCATCCTTGACCATACTTTTATATTCCTTGACCACATGTATCCCAGTTTTTATCTCTGAAATGTTGGAGGGGTGCTGCTGTTGTCCTGTATATTCAGAACTCACTTTTTATATGTATTTTGTTGTGCACCTTTCTCTGTCTCATTCTGTCCCTGTCTCTCTCTGAAGGAAGAATAATAAAGAACCCACCTTTTATACACTTAAAATGTGGCTAAAAACAAAATCATTCCCTGCCTTCAAGCTTGTAATGTAGAAGATATGTCACAAAAGGAACAAGGGATGGTGAGGGAAGAGGAAAATGCAAATTCAGGTATCATTTCCAAAAGTTAAATAGTAGCCATTATAATGACCAGTTGGAAAGGGAAACCCTGAGTTCTCAGTACAAATGGTGCTGCCCTGTTTCCCATCTTTTCCTCTATAGCAGCTTGATGTGCCTTTAGCACTGTATTTTCCGGCGTATAAGATTACTTTTTAACCCAGGAAAATCTGGGTTAAAGTCGGGAGTCGCCTTATATGTGGGGGCGGGAAGAAGCCTTGGGAAAAGAAGAGGAGGAGGAGGACAGAGATGGGGGCAGCAAGAAGCCTTGGGAGGAGAAGAGGACAAGGAGGACAGAGGTGGGGGTGGGAAGAAGCCTTGGGAGAGGAGGAGGAAGAGAGGAACCCTAAGGCGATCTTCTCCTGGGGTTTTCTTGGCAAGACTGGTTCAGAGGACGTTTGCCATTGCCTTCCCTGAGCTGAGAGTGTGTGACTTCTCCAAGTTCACCCAGTGGGTTTCATGGAAGAGTGGAGAATCAAACTTAGGTCTCCAGAGTGGTAGTCCAACACTCAAACCACTACACCATGCTGGCTCCTATTCCCATCTACTGCCTATGAAACAAATGCAGACTTTTATGTTGTTCTTGTGTGTCTTCAAGTCCTTTCCGACTT